AGAGTTCCTCTGTTCCTGAGTCATTAGCTGATTTCAGTTAAATGCTGTGCTCCCTGCACTCAATAGATAACTGAGTCCAAAATAAGATAGAATTGAAGGGAGAAATAAATGCATCACATCCCAGTCACTCATGAAATATTTGTGCGATGTAGTTCTTATGTCTTTCTAGGTCAGTATTTACCTACCAGTTCTGAAAACAATGAAGAGTGTTGTGGAGAGGATGAAGAATCTGAGCAATTCCATTGTAAGTTAAGGTACTTCAGGCGTGTGTTCTACAGACCTTATTTTATCTTGGACATAGCATGTTTCCCTGTTGCCCAAACTGGTGCCCCCATGTTTATCTTATTTTGGGATGGGTCAGACATTGAACTAAAGGCCCTTGAAGACTGTGTAAGGGCTGAAAAGAACGGTAGAATTTATTTTAGGATTTACACTGGAGAGCTCATCCTGGGCTTCCCATAAAGTGGTGCTCTTTGTACTGAATCCTCAAAAGAACATGGTATTATGTTGCTACAAGCCACTCTTTATAGCTGGTGAGAAATTGCGGTCCTTCAGGAACATGCCTGGAGACTTTCCAGGTGATTTCATGAAAGAAATGCTTATTAAGTCAGTCTTGTGTTAGGTGTCTGTGTGAATGAACTTCAGGTAAACTTGAGGTAGGGTATAAGCTAATCCTACTAATAGCTCCTGGATGACAGCCTGAGCTTTAGACTCTTGACATGGTGGGTTTCCAGGCTACCCTGGGCTTTTGGAGTGTTGATGGGTTTTCCACTGAAAGAAGCCCTCTGCAGTTGGCCAGAAAAGGGTTGGTTTTGTCTGGGTGTTTTTTTTTTTTCAGTTGTTGCTCACAGTCACCAGAATTGACTGACATGAAAGCTAGCAAGTAAGCATGGAGCTTTGAAATAGTTTGGGTTTCGGGCTGTTCATACCAATTTTGATAAACGGGAAATTTTCTGTAAACTGAGAATCTTGAAATTGGGACAGTCTCAGTCTTCCAAGGCTTGGAATAGTTGAGAGATTACCCAGGATTTTTGGCAATTTTGCAAATAGAAGTCATTCTGCAAATGCGAGAGTAAGTACTTCAAACTCTTCTCCTTTGTCAGGCGAACCCCTCTTTTGAGGGGTTTCTTTTTTCTCTCTCCTTCTTTCCCGCACATCCTCAGTGGAAGTGCTTAAACACAACTAAGCACAGTGTATAACTGCTTTGTTTCCAGAGTTGAGGATCTCCTTTCACTCATCTGCATGATGGGATTGAACTTTGGTGTTCAGCAACACTCAGAAGAGGTAGCATATCAACACTGGGCATACCCACCTTCCTGTGTTCCTTACCTCGTGCTCCAAAGCAGGAAAATAAATACATCTCTCTGAAATAGCTTTGATAGCTCTAAGCAGGGAGGCAGACTACATTAATCCTGTACACACTTTCCTGTTACTAAAGAACAAAAACATCAAGTGTCACAATTAAATATTTGTGCTAGATGCATCCTGGTAGTAAAACTGGTCAAGATCAGTGCTGCAAAAAGGGCTTGGAAGCTCTTTCACGTAATACTTGGCTATTGTTTGGGGAGTATTTGTCTGTGACATTTCCTATTCTATAGGAGATTCTGGTTGTGATATGAACTTCTTTTAAAATTACTGAGAAGTCTTCACATCACAGAAGTGAAGTGCTTAGATGTGCTCTAGGAGTCCTCTGATCTGCTTGGGATTTGTGTAAGCTTGTATATAGTCTCATTCTGGTTTGACACTTTGTCAGCATGGAATTTGAAAGCTTTCAGCACTTTCCCAGGATTTATAGCAATTCAAAGTACTGCTTGGAGTTACTGCTGTGGTGCAGCTGCTGCCTGTTTTTAAAGTCTTGTAAAGCAACACTGCAACTGCAGGTCAGCTCTTGGTGCATCCCATTATCTGTGTGTGTCATATGGACTGTGTAGGTGCCTTTCTGTTGAAAAGCTGAATGGAAATGCAGGAAACCTTGCATTTCTCTGGCTTCAGTCTCTTATTTCTAAAGCCTTTTTCTCAGCACTGGAACTTCCCAAAGCCAGTACTTTTTTCTAAAAATACTGTAGAGCAATTGAATTTCTTTCTTTTCATAATTTCAGGGAGGTTGGTCTGGGATAATTCACAGAGGAATGATGGGAAACGCATTTTTTAGCTGAACATTCAAATGTTCAAACTGTGTTCAAAAAGTACAGTTGAGCTGTGAAGGCACTGAAGTGCTTCTGGAAGCTTGTATTTGCACCGTGTTCTTCTATAATTCTGTAGTGCGAAAGTGGCTTGCCTACAATTGATCTTGATTGTATTGCAGGTGATAGAAGCAAACTTGAGTGGAGAAATGAACTTGAAAATAGAAACTGACTTAGTGTCTGTAACAACACATTTTAAAGACTTAGGAAATCCTCCCTGGGGTAAGTTTCCCTGTTTGTTGCCTCTTGTGTCTGATCTCATTACTTGTGATGCTGATAACAGTACTTATCTCCTGTTAGTTCTTACAAAGTAGCATCAAGTACCTTGAAATCTTCAAATGAAACCTTAAAAAGAAAGGTAGTCAATGGCTGTTTCATGTTTGTGGGTGGAATCTCTTCTGGTATTCTTAAAAACTTTGTAGGAAAACTGAGCTTTCTCTTCCTTGCGCTGCTGCTCTGAAAAACAACCCATTTGAGTACCAGCTGTTCAGTGATTATCAGCTGTGTCCTTACAGGCGTTGAAGCTCCTTCTCATGTTTTGACTAAGTGTTGTGTTCTTATGCTTTTAGCATCAGTGGATGGATGTCAAAGTTCTACTCAAGGCAGAGATCTGGAAAGCATGGCTGAGGCACGCATAGACATCAAGAAGCTGCAGCAGCTGCTTGCTGGACAGCAGGTCAATCCCACAAAAGCACTGTGCAGTAAGTTCAACAGCTCTGTTTGCAAACTCCAGTTAAAGAGGGATGTTTGCCATAGGTGTAGTCTCAGCAGAACAGCATATCTTCTGTTTTGTCTGTTTGAAACTTGACTATTTTTACCGTACTATTTTTACTGTACCTGAGGACTTTTAGTATTTCTATTATTAGCCAGGAAGCTTCAGGCCTTAGGCATTTAGGGAAGAATAAAAAAAGTTAAAAAAAATTAAGCCAGGACCTTTTATTCAACATACCAAGTTGAATGCTGAGACTGACGAATCATGGGTGTCTTCTTTTTGTCTTTGTTTTGAAGTTGTTATTTTTTATTATTATTTTGGAGTTTGTTGGGGTTTTTTTTAAGTCTGGAAAAAAAAAAAGCCCCTAGTTTCTAGCAGAGAAACTGGGATTTACTGACATATTTGTTTTGTGGGTTTTTTTCCTCACATGCTTGCTTACATTCAGCACCAAATTGATTCTAATACCAAAATGCTTTTTAATGCAGCTAGTGTTTCAAACAGTGGAAACAGTATGTTCTTTCTAGCAGAAACCTATGCAGGGTTTTCTATCCTATTTTGATAACTCTGTATGCTTTTCCTGAGAACATCTGTGTGTTATGGTTTAGTGCAGATGCTAAGAATTTCCCAAGAAAGATCTAAGTCATGGGTGTATAGCATCATAGGCCTATGCATTACATATTTCCTTTTGGTTATCAGCTTTCATAGACTCTTTAGTAATGCTTCAGAGACCGTCAAGGACTTAAATATTACAAGATGATATGTCTAGTCATCCTTCTGTCAGAAGTGGTAGAAGCATTGTATTCTTATGGTGGCATTCTGTAGAAGATGTAATTTTAAAGTTGTTTTTCCTGCTTTAAATTGGATTTGGGGGTTTTTTTCTCTTTACAGATATTGTAAGTAAAAGAATTGTCCACTTCATTTTGCTCCATGAGGATGTTTCACTTCAGTATTTTATTCCAGCACTTGTCTGAATGTTTTGGAATCTCAATCATTTTCTGACCTGAGGCTTTTTCCATGAGGTCTGAAAACCTTTCTGAGTTGCTGGAGTACTGTTGTGATATGCTGTTAGATGCAGCCATCGGATGGACATTATTTCCATATTTATGAAATTACTCAAAATATCTCCTCATCCAGAAGGCTGTTTTTGTGAAGAGTTACATGCTATGAAAGACACACCGCTGGGGAGCTGGCATATCTGAGCATTACTGAAATTTGTATGTGCTTTTGGGATGCTTTAAGCTGTGGGGAAGGCAACGTAATATTTTTTTTTCTTGACAAACACAAAAGTGGACTTGACTTCTGGAGATGCTGCGGGGTGTATTCAGTATTGGACAATGCAGCTCCAAGTTAAGGGATCTCTGAGCAAGCTGTCATACCTGCACGGAGCAGGAGGGCTCTCTGGAGGGTTGCCAAATTGGTATTTGCCTGGGCAGGTAAGCACAGCCCTCCTGAAGTGCTACAGGATTGACTTCTGTTCCAGCAGTGATGGATATGGATTTGATGCTGCTGCATGTTGTGCAGCAGAAATGCGTCTGAGGCAGAGGAGCTTCCTGTGGCTGCCAGCCCGTAACAGGATGTAACAGATGCGAAGGAGCACCAACAGAGCAACAGCAGCTGTTGTACCTGGTTGTATCTTTTGATCTGACTTGCTCCAACATACCTCAGTGCTTGAACTGATGTGTTTGGTTCTTGGCCTGAGAGGAAGAGTTAAACAGTCTGAATTACCTTGTTAATGTGGGCAGTGAAGGTCCCTATCTGTGTACAGAATGGATATCCTGTGAGGACATGTGTGAACACAGCAATTGATGTGAAATAAAGGGCAAGTTATCTGTGGATCACATTTTTTCCCCTTTCCAGATGGAAGGCATTGTACAACCTATGTCATCATGGCGTCAGACATGGTGAGGTTGCATCTAGGCTCTGATACTGAGCAGCCAAGAGCATGACTAAGTCTCACTGACAGGAGTACTGCCCCTGCTTCTACTTCCTGGTTACCTTTTCCTCTTTATTCCATGTGTCATTGTCACCCAGCCATGTTCCGTGTAGCCTTTGGTGTTCCACAGGGTTTTGAAGATCTTGTGAAACTTCTTGTTTTAGAAATAGTGAGTGAGTTATGCTGCCAAATGGTACTGGGAGTTTCTGTTAGACAGTAACTCTTGTTGTGGTCAGAAGCGTTTGGTTTTTTGTTTGATTTTTTTTTTGTTTTGTTTTTCCAAGAGGCACTGAGGTTAAGGGAGCAATTACTCTTTCTGTTCTTGCAGATGCAAATGGTCAAGAGAAAGCTGAAGGAGAGGCAGTGGCCTGGGAATGTTATGTGTCTTTGCCTTCTTTCACCATTTCTATCAAACTAACCAGAAAACATCTTCCAAATCCTGTTAGTTTTCATGGGCAACTGCAATTACCCAAAAAATCTGTGCAAGATGAAAATAGCTGTGCACCAGGTTACAGCAATTGCATGGTAAGAGGTATGTGGCAAATATACCTGGGTTTTCTCCTTCAGAGAGGGAAAAAACTGTCAGAGTATGGTACAGAGTATGCACTATGAAAATAAGCTTTGGATTTTCTCCTTTGAAAAATGTGTTCTGTGTAACCTGATGGAAATGGCTTTTTCTGGGATAGCCTAAGAACTAGTAATAATGGCCTCTCAGCTATGTGGGCTCTATGATTGCTATTTTTAAAGAGAGATCCGAAGTTGCAAGAAAATATGTTGGGTTTTTTTATAAAAAATAAATAAAAGTGGGAGTAATGCTGGTACAGGCCAGAGCATGCAGTGAGATGTCCATTTCATGTTCTGTAGGGGAGGAGGCTAGACGGACCAGCAGGGGTGAAGTCTCTCCGGCCCCAGTGCTTTCTTACCCTTCCCACTGAAATGCAGCACAAGGGTGCAGCTAAGCCCTGCCATCCAGTTGATGCATACATGCTGATTGGAGGAAAAATAATACTTGTTGAGGTTTAAACCTGCTCTCATCTGTGAATCCAGTTGTTAGAGCCCTGAGGGCAGTGTTTGTCCTTAATGGCCCTAAGCAGCCTCACCAGGGACCCCTACTGACCCCTTGTCCTTGGGCCCACAGATCCTATTTCAGCTCTGGCTGTGGCATCCTGTACTCCCCTAAGGTATGTTATAGGTGGGCCTGGGCCCAGCCCTGTTCCTGAATTGATGTTTAGATTTCCTGAATTGGCTTCAGATGGGAGCTGTTGCTCTCACCACCTGGTTCTGCTTGCCTGGTTTAGGTTCCGTGGCCTGTGCCCCAGCTGTAGGGGTGCTGCCTGGCCTCCAGTGTGGCCGCTCTCACTCCTGGAGCAATCTTGCTCTTGCTGCTCTCTAACACCAATAATGAGAAGAAATATTTCTCATTAATAGCCCTGGCTGGTTCCACATTGTCGTTGTTTGCCCTAGCCAACAACTAAGCACCACACAGCTGCTCATTCACCCCCCCCTCCCCATGTGAGATGGGGGAGAGAATCAGAAAAGAAAATTTGCGGGTTGAGATCCAACAGTTTAATAGGACAGCAAAGAAAGAGGTAATAGTAATATTACTGGCAAAGAAATACACAAAAACAAGTGATGCACAATGCAACAACTGCTCACCACCTGGTGATTGATAGCCCATCCCTGAGGAGCAATTCCCACTCCCTGGCCAACTGCAGTTTTATATATGGAGCGTGATGTTACATGGTAGGGAATGTCCTTTTGACCAGTCTGGGTCAGCTGTCTTGGCTGTGCCCCCTCCTAGCTTCTTGTGGAGCTCCCCACCAGCAGAGCATGGGAAGCTGAAAAGTCCTTGATTTTGTTGTGGAGTAGTTGTGCTTATATTAAAAACATTGGTGTGTTATCAACATTATTCTCATACTAAATCCAAAACACATATCCAAACATCCAAAGCACTATACCAGCTAATTAAATTAACTATCCCAGCTGAAATCATGACACACATGATGAACCAATTGTTTTATGCCTGAAAATAGTTGTTGTAGCTTAAGCCACCAAGACAAAATGGAGTTCCGAGCTGCTGGTGAGACTTCAGAATAACTGTAAGACCATCCAGCTTTGTTCTCCTAATGCACATTCCTGTTACAGGATGTTACATGTGGCCACCACCTCCAGCAGCTCTGGCCCAGGACTCCTGCACAGCTGCTGGTGCCCAGCCTGAGGTACCTGGGTATCGGGGATGTGTACGCCCTGGGCTGAGGGATGTAGCTGCTGCTTTCCCACTTGCAGGTTCAGCCAGCAGTGAAGCTGAGCTTGTGTCCGAGGGACACATATAGACACACACAGGACACTGACACAGCTGGTCACAGACAGCCACAGACAAGCTGTGCCTTTAACTGCATCTACATACGTAAAACAAGCACAGGCGGTCACATCCCCTTCCTCCTCTTCATCTTGCAGAGGCAGAAGGTCACTAGTGCAGGCACACACATGATGCTGTCTAGGTTCACAAGAACATACACATTTGTAGACCCCTCGAGTACTGGCACTGTCTGCCTAGTACCACTGCCAAGATCCTGGACCTCTTACCCGCCCCATGGGTGCCCTATTTGTTGGCTTGTCCAGGTTGGTGCTCACTAGCAAACATGCAGCACTCAGTTCTTGTCCTACAGGCATCCCATACTCGCAGGTCCTTCCAGATACAAGCACAGAGCCTTTGCCTGCCTAATACCCCAGCCCTGACCCAGGCCCTCGTACTCACTGGCTCATCCAGCTTCCAGTTTGACCGCAAATGCACACCCCATGCACATCCTGTTTGGGGAGCTCACAGACACTTGCCCCACCATCAGCTGGCACCACATACATGGGCTGTGACCTGAGGTCCTGCTCCAGCCGCTGGCACCAAGCCTCACATGCGCCTCACTCATGACGGTGGTGTGTCCCCCCAGTTGGTTTTTGAGACACGCACCATTCCCACTCCAGCTGCTGCTGGTTGGGACCCACACACTCGCTCTGGTAGCTGACAGCCCTGGGGCACTGACTGCAGTTGCTGGCACCAATCCCACTCATGCTGTTCCCCCCCTGCAAGGGCACCTAGCCCTTGCAGCACATAGGCACACCGAGTAGAGAGGGGGGGCCATGCAGAGGTAGTGAAGAAAGGACTTAATAAGAAGATAGGACAGGCTGCGGTGATGAGTGTTATCGACTGACCCCTTTTATCTGCCTTTCTGCCTACTCCCCCTTTGTTCCTCCATGCTCCCCCTTGCCCTGCACATTGCTTCATCAGTTGGCACATTTCCACCCACCCCCTCCAACATGCTGGTCCCTGAGGTTTGCATCTTTATTAGTTGCAAAGCCTCATCTTTCCTGTGTTGTGGGTTGACCCTGGTAGGCAGCTCAGGCCCACGCAGCCGCTCCTTCCCTCCCTCCCCCATATATGGGATGGGGGAGAGAATTGGACGAGTAAAAGTGAGAAAACTCGTAGATTGAGGTAAAGACAGTTTTAATAGTGTGTGGGATTTGGCTGGGATAGAGTTAATTTTCTTCATAGAAGCTAGTATGGGGCTATGTTTTGGATTTGGGATGAAAACAGTTGATAATATAGAGATGGTTTCATTATTGCTGATTCAAAGAAGTCAAATTTAAACTCAGTAACATCAAAGTGTTATTAAGTAGACATCTTTATTGCAGCGCTGGATGCATGGGGGATATCTCCTCCTAATGTGTGTGTTGAAACAGAAGTTCATCCTTGATATACCTTAAAGACATGAATATTCACACCTTTTCCAAGAAATCACCACCTCCTTGCTTATCTATTACATTGACATAATGCTGGCGTTGCAAAACTACACTACGCATGGTCTCAGGTGGTCATCGGTAGTCATCTGGGGAGTTAGCCCTCTACTCCTTTTTCCCTTTTATGGTCACGGGCCTCTTGAGGATAATTTCTTCTCCTTGGATGTTTGCCCCTTCTGTTGTGCAGCCAAGCGGTTCCTTCTTACCATTGTTGTTAGAGCACCCTCCCCTGCCAGTCTGTCTCTATGCTCAAGGTTAAGATATCTTCTCTGTACTCATTAATCTCTCAGTCCTTGCTCTTAACTCTTTGGTTTAATTTTCATGAGGCCTGCTTTCCTCATGATTAACTGTTCACACATAGGTAAAATGTTAGCACTGAGGCAAATACAGCCTAAGGACTATGAGAATAGGCCATTAAACATAATCACACAGTTATTAGGCTAAAGAATTCTATACTAA